CATTCGTATACAGTATGCCTAGAGTTCCTTGTTGTCGAATTGATTTGGGTATGGACTTTTTCAGTAACAAGACAAAGTTTATCATCAATGTGTGGCACACCCTCTAACAGCACTCAAGTTTTCTTTGTTTTCATAAGCGGAGTAAATTGAATGCTGCACCTTGGTTGCGATTTGTTTTACGAATTTTGACACATATTTTCTAATGAATAATTATATTTAGATCGAGAAAGACTTCGCACCTTGCGTATACAAAGTGATTCGTGCTGTATACCTCAAAAACGAGGATGATTCCCATTACCTCAATGAAGCTCTTTGCAGCATTCACGATTGCTTGTTGAAAGCTACCGCTACCATGAAGGTGGGTCAATTTGAGTGTTCCGCCCAGGGTTCGGGATGCATTGCGGCTTCGAATAAGTGGCCAGGTCAGGTTAGGCGAATCGGACGGTGCGATTAGTGATGGATCAAGAATAAAATCTATGTATCGATTAGGCGAGTATGCAAGTAAGCGGCTGAGCGACTAGGCGAGTAGGCGCCTAACCGAGACGTATCCCTTCCCTTATATGCTGATGTTGTCAGACATTGCGAATCGAGCGATTCGCTGCCTCATACGCTACCGCGAACCTCGATTCGCGAAGTCTGACCTCCGGACGGAGAAGCTTCCCTCACTGATTCTTTACAAACTCTCAGCTTCCTATTTCTTACAAAAAGTAGCATATAGTTCTACTAGATCTGAGGTTACGCTTCAGTTTTTGCCGAATTCGCCTTAAAACTTGATTATAGGTAGTAGCTCGTTGTATGAGTTATAGCGAAATTATACCAATTCCGTATCAGCCGTATCTCCATTACAAAATATATTTGCAAGTTACCTTCTTCAGCGATTACCGGAGCATTTGACTCCCACTGACTTCTACCACGGATTGCGCCCTTTTCTACAGGGATATAAGGCTCTCAGTCCTCATGAAATAGTATTTGAAGGTTGTTTCTATTTTTCCTTCTCATCGGATCCTTTGTATCATATTCTTTTGCATTTATTGCAATTATTATTATTATTTTTCGTTGCCATCGGAAAAGTATACATTCATGGTATGCTGGTGGATGGCGGACTTTAGACACGAAAAGGGTATATCATATGAGCTGGGCTCATCCTTATACCTTTCCCATCACCCGGCGAAGGGTTATGACAACTGGTGAAGGACTCGAAGCTCACCTTGAAGTTCAGACAAATGCGTACGCATCGTGTGCGATCGCAGGAAAGCCGATCAGTGGAGATGTCCAACGATGGCACAAGCGGGAGTAGGTTTCTCTCACCGAGGAAGGACAAAATAGAGTCCCTGACCTTCTCACACTCCTTCTACCAGGAAAACTTCCTGTCTGCTATGCATGTTGCGATCTATTCGCCCAATGGGGTGGAGACGTTCTGTCCACGACAAGTCCGCTCTGGCTACCCCGAAGGCACACACGTTACATGTCAACAGTTTGAAGCCATTTTGCCAATACAGCCAATAATTCAGTCATTTATTCAGTACGCGGTTTTCTTTATAGGAATGGAGGAACTCGGACCAATGGCATATTGCGGAGCTAGCGCAGCACAGAGCTCAACAATACAGTTGATAGATGCGTTCCTAAAAGTTGAACATTCAGGTTTGTATTTGAACATTTTTCGAAGACAGTTCGTTTATAAAAAAATCAAACCTCACTGGTAGTCGAAGGTGTGCGTAGAGATTTTCCTCGGCGCAGACGGCAAGAGCGTAGTAAAAGGAAACTCGTTGGTTTTCTGGCCATTTTTCAAAAAATCGTCCATTACTTACGTTAGAGCACGTGGATCGCGTACCTGCTGTAGCCTGACAGGCCCGTGGCACGGCGAGAAGATAGAGACGCAAACGGGTCCGCACGGACGAGTCACACTGCGTATTCTGCAATGTGGGACTATACTACATCCCATTTAACTGGAGTGTGGCTCATGATCAGCGGTAGACTTGAGCTTCTCGCAGCGAGACCGAAAAAGTCGGACTTCCTGTCCAAGTAACTATAGTCGACACAGTACGCGGGCTCGCGACTCGTCCGCAGACCACCGTTGCGTCTCTGCCTTACGCGCGCGCAGGGGCCTACTGTATCTGCTCGTAAGAAACTAGCGGAAGCTGACCTGTATCCGTAATCTGCTCGTAATTATATCCTAAGTCGCACTTGCCGCAGCTATGACGTCACTGCGACGTTATCAGCACGCCTTCGCGCCTCCGCTAAGCTTTTCTATATCACTCAGTCCCCGTCAGACCAGGCCAGCCGCCGCGATGGGCAAATTCCGGGATTCGGACAAAAATTTCGGGTTTGGGGAATAGGGTCTACGAACCGTATGAGTTCAAAATTTTGCGCAATCTCTGAAATGTCTTCGATATCGTGAACAGTTCATTCTCCTTCGAGGCGTTTCTTTTCTCATCTTTGTCGAAACTCAATGCCCATTATACAAAAATGACCTCTGACGGAACTTTGCCCCTGCGTACGGATGACCAAGCTCCAAACAAGCTCCACTCACCGATCTTTGGTCCTTTGCTTTGAGGGCGGAGCTAACGTCGAGAGGCGGGGCCAAGGTCACTTCACAGCCTTTTACGCCGTTTCTAGAGCTGTAAAATACCTAGTTCGTTTCGTTCAGCAGTTCTGAGCCCACCACACATTTCATTATGTGGTGAATCAAACCAACACGCATACTGTTCTCAAAAATACTAATCATTTATGCAGGAGAAGAAAGAACGTTTCTGCACGAACATAGAGAGTACATGCCACGCGAACAATCGCGAGCTTATTTACTGGGTCGAAGCAGAATCGCCGATACAGAAATCAACGGAAGGTCGTCAGCAAGCACTGGAGGCGCTCACTGCATTTCGCTCATCCCATTTGAATACAGTGAGGCGATTTACATAGTCGCGTGGAACGGTCCGAATTTATGCAAAGGTTTCTGTTTTCAGGTGGCATTATACATCCTCACACAAATGAAAGGCTCTTCGCAGGCGACTGGAACTGGAGGCAGTTTCACTTGTGCAGTTCTTGAACAATGTCAGGCTCAATACCAAATGAAGGCGTTCTCGTTCAGATCTCCACTAATCTTGGGCACAAAAATCATCTCAGAAAAATGGTTTTCGGGCTGTAACTATCTACAAGGTTCACACCGAGATCGAGCTTTGAAAGCCTTTTTCCCAAACACTGAGAACACCATACACATGCACTGTTTCCCGTTGCGAGACGTGCCGCAATTGCAGACCCTATTGATCGCCAGCGAAGACTTCCTCAACTGCTCACTCCTAACGAGAGAGGTTTACAATACTGCATGTACGAGAGGTATAACCCCTCCCACTGCCGAGGTCGCCCCCTAAATGGAGGTGTTCCATTGCTTTCTGTGAATATTATGCTTCCCACCTCATGTAAAACCTTTATCCACCGCAAGATGTTTATAAAAGACCATACCTTGTAAGTCTTTAGCACCCACAAGTTTGAGGATACAGTAGCACGACGATGGTCTCCAAAACAAGAACACATGCTCTCTTTCACGCTTTATATGCCGCTACTATGTGCCATATGCTAATGAGGGTTCCACTACGACAAGTCTAGCTGCAGCCTGCACAAAATAGTCGTTCCTAATTCCCGTGTAAAATTGAATCACACTCATTTCGATTTAAGGCATATTTTACGCTGCATGTAGTGACGTAGACCACATCAACCACTGCTGCCCCTCCATGGTTCATGCTAGAACGGAATGGCACAACACGGGAGGAGGCGCACGTTTTGTATGGCTCCACTAGCAGGATCATTATGAAATGTGCCTTCGGTACCTCAACGACCATGTAGTGGCATTGAGTACCACGAGCCCGGTACCTGGTACAAGCCGCGTGGGACAGCGCGGCACCCTGTGGTACCGCAGCTGAATAAATCACTTTTCTTCTGAATTGTTACAATTTGTTCACAAATCACACAAAAATGTAGCTATAAATTATGGGGTTCAAGACATAGTTGTATAGTGCTGTGTTTATGCATGTTTTATTATTATGTTTTCTGTTTTTTTTTCTTGTTCACCGCTGCACTCATAAAATCGCTCCGTTCCTACATGGCAAGAAAGCAAAAAACTACACCTCTGGTTAACTGTGGAAGCTATGCGTTAGTGTCGCATTCGAGATGCCACTGCGATTGTGAATGGATGTAAAATGCGTGGCGCATCCCAAAAAGTGATCGATCATCGCCAAGTGGGTAGCATTAATACGAGCAATGTTTATTGTTAATGTGTGACACACTCTCTAACAGCACGCAAGCTTATTTTTTCGCATCAAGGGAGTAAATTAATTACTGCACCTCAATCATGTTTTACGATTTTGGACACATATTTTCTAATGAATAATTATATTTAGATCGAGAAAGACTTCGCACCTTGCGTATACAAAGTGATTCGTGCTGTATACCTTAAAAACGAGAATGATTCCCATTACCTCAACGAAGCTCTCGACAGCATTCATGATTGCCTGTTGAAAGCTACCGCTACCATGAAGGTGAGTCAACCTCGGTGTTCCGTCCAAAGTTCAGGATACAATTGGTTTCAAATGTGAGTATAATCACGCCTCGCTACCGCATTAATGAAGTAACACAGACATAGTAAGTAGGCAGCGTTTAGAGTTGGCGATCGTACGTGCGGTGAGGGGATGATTCAAGTATAAAATCTACGTATCGATTAGGCGACTATGCGAGTAAACGGGTTATTGACCAGACGAGAAGGCGCCTAATCGATACGTATCCCTTTCCCTCATAGACTGATGTCAGACAATGCATATCGAGCGATTCGCTGGTCCCGACGCGACCGCGGACCTCGATTCGCGAAGTCTGATATCGGCCGTACAGAGACGCTTCCCTCACTGATTCTTTACAAACTCTCAGCTTCCTATTTCTTTAGAGAATAGCATATAGTTTTACTAGATCTGAGGTTTACGCTTCGGTTTTAGTCGAATTCGCCTCGAAAGATGTTTATAGGCAGTAGCTCGTTCGCATGAGTCATAGCGAAACTATACCAATTCCGTATCAGTCCGTATCTGTCGTAGAATTCTTACAAAATATGTATAAGT